GACCTTACTAGCATATGCAACTATTGTCGTATAACAAAGTGCATACGTAGGTCCTTGCATAAATAGTTCTATCGGAATTATCCACCATGGCGTAGACGCCAAAGAAATTAAACCAAGACGTATAGCGTAACATACGAAACAAAACGTAAAAGTATATCCGAATCCTAGCTTCTTTAAAATTTTACCTGTTAAAAGCGTAATTATTTATTGAAACATTCTAACAGCGTGAAAGTAAAGGAAAAAGACAAAAGGTTTACCAGACAAGGAAAAAAATATTATCTCGCCGCCCAAAGTTTCCGCGGCAACTATTAAACCTTCTATTAATTTAATTTCATTCATATGACCAGTTGTCATAGCTAAATCTTCTAAGTACCTGTTGAAAACATATCGTTTCTATGTGAATGCGATTATAACAGTAATCTGTGTTTCTGCTATTCTTCTGTTATCCGTTTTACGTTTTCCAATGTATTTTAATTGTTAAAAGATATTTAGTTAACAGTTTAAATAAATGTATACAAATTACCAAAAACTAAACAATACAAACGTAACAATTTACCAAAATAAAAAGTAAATTATAAAGCTGTCTAGAATGCCAGCAATCGTCGCAAAGCAGAGAAATATTATTATATGCTTCAATTTTAAAAGCTGAGACACGTCTTTTAATATATTTGTCGATCCTACCATAATTGGCAGCTGCAAGAAATATCTTTGATGGATTACAGGTGATTAAGAAAGTTGATAGAACAGTCTGTTGATCGATGCGTGAAATACTCACTTTTAATTTTTTACAACAGAATAGATCGATGAACGAAAACACGAAGACCAATAGAAATGCGGGTGTGTAAATTTTGATTATTTCTCCTTTAGACCAATAATCGACTAAACTTCCAGCCAAAGAGGCAGTAATTCCGAAACCTATTGTTCCCCAAACGCGTTGTCTACCATATCCCATTTCACCACCTACGCCTGTAAGTTCATTAAATTAATAGAAAAAATAAATAATATTAAACACTAAGTACAGAGCTATATTAAGAATGGAATTATGCAATACCTAGTATATCGAAGCAAATCGCATCGCTTATACTGTTGCTTACATTGAAACCAATATTACCAAGACACATCAAAAAGACAAATCCCCAGAAAGTTGCAGATGAGTATAGACAATGTTTGTCTTTGAAATCATCACAGGTGACGTTACAGTTAGTACTTTGTGAACAATATGAGGTAGAATTTGCATTAATTAAACATGTAGTATTCGAGGAAAAGCTTGCTTCCCCTTTAACAGCTTGAAATAGTATCGTTGTAGAAAAGTGTTCATCTTTACATGTCCAGTGGCACGTTGTATTCTTTGCTCCAGTGCACAAATCTGGTCTTGAAATGTCCTTAAATAAGTTAGGAATCAAAAACGTTTAAGAAATTTAGAATTCACGTTTACAAGACTATGAAAGCTTACTTCTAATGAACAATGCGGTAAAAGGTCACAAGATATGTTAATAAATCTATGATCCGGTAAAACTGGTCCTGGAAGTACTGGTAAGAAGCACATACAGACGTAACAAGTGCTTGTTACTGCTAGTAATGCTACAAAAATTGATTTTTTCCAGGAGTCAAAGTAATCTACAAGAAAGCCAAAGGCTGGCTTTGCGATTAAAAACAGAATCGGTAATACAGCTGTGATGCTGCCCATGACTAATGGGGATACACCGAGCTGTTTACCATAAACTGGTAAAAATGGAAGAATTGGACCCATTGCTGAAATAAGAAGTATATATTATATGTAACAGAAGTGACATCTTAATGATAGAATAAAATTATATTTACCTGCCATGAAGAAAAAGTAATGTGCCTTTATAGGCAACTGTTTGTAATTCAATTTCATTTTTTTTATAATTCTAGAGTAATTAACGCATCGCAAATACTCCAATTAAATCATATTGACCACTTTCAAGGAGCAGGGTTTAAGCAAAAATTCACATATCACCATTTCCTAAAATCAGAACACACTGGTAAGTTTACTGTTGATCGAACAAGTGAAAGTATTGGATTACTTCTTACATGGTAATGTAAATTGTGGTTATATTAGGACATAGAGGAGATGGAGATTAATTAAGATAAGAAACACAAGTAAATCAAAAGTGCGATACCATATCGTTTGATATAGTCCAAAAATGGAATTCGCAACTTTTCTATATTTGAAATGTGTCGCCTACTTTATGTCAAAGATGTGTATCTGTCATTCGAAAAAATTTCGAAATTTTTAATTCACGCAAGTTTAACGTCATCTTTGTCGTTTCTTGCTTCCCGTTCTACAAATAACCAACGACCAGCTTTTCTGCGTACTCGTTATCACACACTCGCTACGATGCATCTTCATTTGCGCGTTACACTTTTTTTTAGATTAAAATAAAAACTTACACGGGAAAACTTATTCTACTACGTCAGATTAGATAAATAAAAAAGGGATCAGGCCAGTTCATGCATTCTCTGACAGTTTCATGTTGTCAAACTTTATAAACAGTAAAAGGACGTTTGCTATCTTCATTTTACTGTTTATAAAGTTTTAAGGCCGAAATTGCAAAATCAGGCCTTGGAGTCGCATCCGCCAAAGTGTAACGAATATATTAAAACCAGAATTATTAGAAAATATTGCTTCTTTGCTTCAATATCCTGGAAAAAAATCATGCTAGCCTAATCGCCCTGTCCTCGTCTCTCCTGCAATTGTTGTATCGCCCTCTCTGTCCTTGTCTCGGAGTTTCCTACTTTTTCCGCACCTATCGCTGAAATCAACTCGGAGGTTGGTTCTGGCTCCTGTGCGCTTTTAAACGTTTTACGCAGTCAATTTTAAGTTTTGACGTTCTCGTAGATAAGTTTACGCCGCGTAAAAAATTCATAGAAAATTCTGACTAAATACAAAGAATATTAAATCGTCGAAAGTAGTAACGGAAGTATTTGATCATACAGCGTTGGTTTGAGAGATAATAAAGGAAGTAGTAGGCATGATCGGCTCACGCTACAACGCCCCTATTGATGATTAAATTTAGCTCGATCGTAAAATGTTTACGTTACACGAAATACGCGAGCGATAAATTCATAAAGAACAAAGGATACCTCATTAGGAGTTGTATATATTTTTTTTCTTGATACTATTACAACTGTATAAACAACGATGACCACGAGTCAATGCGATTGGAATAGAACGATGCTGCACGCAATGACAATGATTCGTTTGCAATTGTCATGTCTGACAATTGTGGCATCAACGAAGTAATTTAGTACTCATTGACGACTCGGTTCTCTTCACGAGAAGACTTATACATAAGAGAAATCATGATTGCAAGATGAACGTTACAGGAAACGCGGGGCGATATTAATCTTCGCGTTGTCTTTTAATTAACTCCGTCGTAATGGAACTCCTCGTACGTGCGCACGCCTAGCAAACACGTTATTTAAAATAATTGTTGGATTGCCTAAGAATCGGATTTTAATTATTCTAATATATTGAAAAATTCAATATATTGCAGACTTGAAAATTCATTGAAAATAATAGTACTGTAGTGGATCAATTTTAGAAATTATTAACAGGTTTGAACAGACGATCTAAAAGCGATCCATCGATCAATGGAATCTTCGAAAGAATAATTATATTTTTAGGTTATATTACTAATTGGGGGGTTAAGTTTGCTTGTGTTGGTTGCAGTAATCAAAGAAAAGCGCTGCAAGTTATCGCAAAAAAGAAAGGATTGACTACTTCCGTGCATACAACGAATAATCAGAACCGTGCTATCGTAAGACTGCCATTTTGCATTGAAATTGTTTTATTACGATACATTGTAGACTCATCGGGAAAATACGCAGAAAACAGAGAAGAAAACGATCGCTGCGACAATCTATAACTCATCGAAATGATGTACACATGGAAAGATAAATGTTTTCCATGCGGAATGTTCTCGCGTACCAGAATATTCTTTTTGCGCATTATGACGGCAATAAAGATGTAAATCATAAATAGCTTACTTCAGACCCTCGAACGTCGTGTAGAATAGGTTTCTGGACTCTATTATTTCGAACAGATAATCCTGTGGCCATAGTAAACTACCTGATACGGGATTAACACCCGACCAGGGATGAAACATCCGAATGGTTTTATTATTGGTATATGTTCGTTACATAGATTGTACTGAACATTGAAACGAAATAAAGTGTGGGCTTACTCACCTATCGAATATGAAATGCTAATGTATTCAACATTTGCTGAGCAAGATCTGCGCATCTTGTAGTCGACAAAAGCCAGACAAAAGTATGTGTGCATATGTATTGTGTAGATGAACATCTACTAAAAATAGAATCATTCGACTAGAAACAGGAGACGATCTATCATAATAACAATCTTTATAATGCACTTGATATAATCTAATATTTCTATAATATTGCAAATAATAGGTTGGTCAAGAAATATATTCTCAATTTTTTTCTATGACTTTTCTCCATCTTTTGGGCGAATTCATAAAAGTCCTCATCAAGTTAACACTTTACCGACTGGTAAACCGATACTTTATCTATTATATTGATCATTGTATGAATTATAATATATTACATAAATATCAATCAAAAAACGATTCATGACAGATGAAATAAAGATTGAATAGTACCAATGTTCTTCAAATAAAAAATATTACTGAACGATATGCCCAATCGCTACCAGTCGGTAAAGTGTTAATAACCATTCGAGGTACAGCGAGACATCACCCAAAATCAAACAAACATTTTAATCTAACCTAACGTAAGTTATCATACGAATAAAGTTGTAACACATGAACAGTGCTTTCTATACCCTAAACGTTAAACGCAACAAGTGTTTTCATGCACGGTTAGCCGTACGCTCCGTGATGACGATTCGTTTCCAAAAGCTTTCGACGAATTCGTCGAACCAGCTCAACGGACGTTAACGTCGTCCAGTGTGTACGCGCGTTTATTTAATCCAGCATCGTTAGATTCAATCCAGTCGCCGCGAAGCTGCGTGCGACGAAGACACGTTTAACCACCGCGTGGAAATTCCCCCTCCAGTGTTTGTTGGTGTTTGTCGGAAATGCCATGCGGTGAATTCGGCCGAAAAGTAGTGTTGTTACGCTTGGAACCTGTTGACTGGTTGAATTAAAAAAAGCTCGACGCCGCTGAATCATTCGACTCGTTTCTCGTAAATCCGTCAGTCGATGATACTCCTCTCGAGACCGCTGGCCGCCCCTGTCCTTCTATAATTCTATTTTAAACGTCAGGAGACCGAAGTGCAGCGAACTGGTTATGGTACGGAAGAGAATTTTGGGGCTGGAGGTACGTCGGCAAAGGATACTAAACCGCATGCATTATATCAAATTAAACGCGTAGACAGTGTGACGTCGTGTGCTCCGTTACGCATCGGATTTTTGCTTGACGAGTGTTTTCAAGGATAGGCGAAAGTGATCGAGACAGTTGCATCTTCGGATTTCTTAAATCAGTGGCACAGCGAGCAATTCTGAACACTTGCGTGGAACCTACCGCTTATAATGGAATCTTTTTCTCGAAGTCGAAGAATGGTAGCAGTAATAAAACGTTTAGAAGATGTGTAACGTTAACGTGTCTAATGTGTTTCAGACATAAAATGAAAATTGCGATCATACGTAACTAAACACTGTAGCAGTGAAATTAAAGCTTTCACATAATCACTTGTGAAGATATAATTGATTAGCGAGGCGAATAATAGAAAATTTGATAGCTTTCGGAGTGACTTCGCACCGAGGAAGTGTGATAACACAACAAATTAATTATTCAGCGTTTTCGTCGGTATATATGTATAGCCAATGAATCAAACGAAGAACGTGCGTCGGTACGAGTGAGAAGAGAAATAGTGCTTACCCCGCGAGTTACAATCGAGCGATAACTGTGATTCTTGCACCATGAAACTATTTCTACATTCTTTTTTCACACCGACTCTCGTATGAAATATATTCAACCAGTGATAATCGCGAGTGAGGCTTCGGTAAAGGGAAAAAGGATTGCAAGGTTAAGATTTTTTCATGAAAATCATGCGGGTTGAGTGGACAAACATTTTTGGTGTCCACTGGACGCTGAAAATGTACGCTCGATTATTCATTTTACTCATCTTCACTGTGCTTTTCCATCAACATGCTAACGCGGAGGAATGCAAAGATTGCAAAGAAGACCTCGTATGTGAGTGAGAACATTTTACTAATAATAGACGTACGTAGTTTGCTTTAGCATTATTTATATAGATAGATATAAATATATGTTAGATATATTATAGTCTAGTAGTAATAGTCTATACATAGATGTTAGAATTAGTGTAAATAAGTAGATTAATTGCAACTTATTCTTAATTCGTAAACAAATGAGAGTTACGAAAGAGAACTAAACGCTTTACTTTTATTGCGATATTATATTAGGTTGTCTCAAAAGTTTCTTTCGTTTTATTAATAATTAATACATACACAATATTTTATGTCTTATGTTACATTACAAAATTGTGCACAATTCATTTCGCTCCATTACTGTTATAGCATCAATGTCCAAAAAATTAGATCATCTATTTATATAAATACTGCCACAGAAAATAATTGAATGCAACTCACGAAAGAAACTTTTACAACCTAATGCATTCCACTTTGAAAGGTCCGATAAAGTCGACGTAGTAAAAATTTTACCACTTGAAACCCATAATTTCTTAGCAGTGTTACGATTTCCAAAATGATTTCCCCCGAATCACCGAAAATGAAACTTGCAGTGAAACTGTGCATAGTCGAGACCGCGCACACGGCAAAAAGCATCTCTAACCTTTGCTCACAATTGGCGACCACATGGCGTGTAATTAGATGTGTCGTAAAAACCGACAGGTGAGTATGAAAGTTCAATAGGAATGCCGTCAAGGTGTAGAGTCTAGTTTAGTCGCGCGAAACAAATATAGCGATCTCGTAAGAACGATAGGAAGGATGGCGGCGCCCTTGAGCGTAGGATGTCAACAGTCACGATTGGCTGTGATCTTTGCTGAACGTAAAAAGTTTAAAGTTTAACAAACCCAGAATCATGAATTTGCCCAAAAGACGATGAAAGATCATAGAACAAAACGGGCAATATATTGTAAAGTAAATACAGGGTGTCCTAAAAATATTGTAACACCTTGAAAGAGGTGGTTCGGGAGGTGATTTGAAACAACTTTTTCCTTAGCGAAAATGTTGTCCGAGGCTTCGTTGAGGAGATATTAACGGAAAACCGCGACCAATCAGAGCTCGCGTGTACTGTTGGAGCGGCCGTGGTAACGTAGGCTACGCGCTCCCCGACCAATCAGAGCGCGAGTATGCCAATGGAGCGCCCGCTGATTGGTCAGTGTTTTCCGTTAATATTTCCTTAACAAAGCCTCGGACAACATTTTCGCTAAGGAAAAAGTTGTTTCAAATCACCCCCCGAATCACCCCTTTCAAGGTGTTACAACATTCTTGGGACATCCTGTATTATTTTTCTCGAGTAGAAGATACGCGTGGTTACTCAAAAAAAAAAAAAATAAAAAAAAATAAATCATAAACGTACGACGTTTTGCTAAGGAAAAAGTTGTTTCAAATTACCTCCCGAACCACTCCTTTCAAGGTGTTACAACATTTTTCGGACACCCTGTATATTGCAAAGTAAATATATTTCGCGTTAAGATCCGAACGGACTTTCTGGCCAACCCAATATTTATTCGTTCCCAAAGCAGAATTTAAAGGAAAGCTTGCAATAAATTTTCGTAATCGTTTACGGATAAGCAACCGGCCTCCTTAACGATGCGTCGTAAAAATATTGCCGTTCTAACGGGAATACCCGAATTACGTAGGTTGAATTGCCTGCGGCAGTTGGCTATGGGACTGGCCGATTTTACTGTACTGGAACCCGAGGACCTGGTCGCCGCGTCTGCATACAACGAATACAACGTCGTAGTCACCAACGAACTGAGACTATATGCAGATGGTAATTACAAGATAAAATCGGGCCCGAGAAGACCCCAAATCAATAAATATAAATAAATATAACTATTCTAGACATTATAGAGAATCATGGTTTGCTACATTGTGTTTCTAAGAACGTTGTGTTTATATCGAATAAAAACACGGTCAAATCGCCGCGCCACGGACACTCTAATCTCCCCTAAAGTAGCATATCAAAAAAGAAAAGAAAACAGATCGGCCAGCTTTACCGAGTTTGAATTCTGAGATTGAGATTGCCTATTGTTTTTTGATTTCTTAGAAAAGCAACGGTTCGAGATGGTAGTTCTAGTCAACAAGGACGTGAAAAGCATATGGGACGTTAAGGCCAGAAGGTTCTGCCATCCTGGACATGACTCGAGCGACGGTTGGACTAAGGCTTTCTCCACGGTTAATATTTTCATGAATATTCTACGGAATATGTCTGGTGTAAATGTATCCAGCCAATTAGTTGTTAAAATTCAAAGGGAGATAGAAGAACTCTGTAATTGATTATTTTCAGCTTGTTAATGGACCAGATAAATTTTTGTTTGCCTTGGATTGCTTTGCTTGGCGTTTGGCGCACCGACGCGCGGCAATGCTTTGAAACAGTGTTTGTCAAAGTGGAGGGACGCGACCTTGAGAAAGCGGCCTCGCAAGGGAACGTCACATCTATGGGGTCGTGGATTTACACGATGATTTAAACGTTTATTCTATAGGTACCAAACATCATAATCCTCGAAGCTTTTGTAATAAATATAAATATTGTCAATGTAGAAGGGAGAGTGGGGATATCTTACGTACGTGTATGTTGCTATACAAGGAAGCAGGCGCGAAAGATAAGTTTTAACATAAACAAATATAGATAATTCTTTTATCTCTGAAATCACATACCTGTTATCTTCCTAGATAAAGACTTTATTTCCAGTTAATTAGACCGTATCAGTAATGGTTCTAAAACAATTTTAAAAACTGTTACTTAAGTTTTAAATTTCAATAAGGATTCGTGTCAATATCCAAGTACACTTGATGCAACATCTTCAAAGGACCCTTTCAGTGGCCTTATATCAACGTTTTACGTCTCTCGTACTAGATGGCTTTAAGGGATAATCAAGCATGTACATTTACACTAGCCATACCACAGAACAACACTAACTCTTTCCACAACACTAATCTGATGATATTAACGCACCTCTGTTGCAGTACTTCGAGAAGTGGATAATCCCCAGGGAATGCGACGCTAACAAGACGTTGCTGGAGAACAGAGTGAACGGGGTGTCCAATTTCTTCGAAGCAGCGTGTATCGCTGGACCATGGTCAGCGGACACAGAGTTGGACAGTAAACTGAGTACGTAATCGACGAATACAACGATCGAATAAATATTGAAAGTGTATCGATGGTTCGTTTTGCAGAAGCGAAGTACAGAAACCTTTGCGCCGCGTGCGACAATCCTGTCGGCTGTTACTCGAGTGATAAGTACCACGGCCGCGAAGGAGCTTTATTGTGTCTCACTGATAACGCGGGAGACATTGCCTGGGTCAGATTAGACGATACTCTTGCTCATTTCAAGGTTAGAGCATCGAGAGTTAACGTGATCCACGAATGAAAAAGAACAATAATTTTTTTTTAAACATATATATGAAATCATAACTTAAATATATACAGTATATGTATAGTTTCTTAACTAGTTTGTTTCGACTGATAGTAACAAAATACTGTACACAGGATGGCCAAGCAGATAAAGAAAATTATAATTACCTCTGCCCCGACGGTACAACGAGGCCAATGAAATTCGACAAGCCCTGCGTGTGGATCTCGAAACCATGGCCTGTGGTCATCGCGAGATTGTTAGTACAGACATTGCATAATTTATCGTCGATTCCGCTTTTGATACGAATTTAAACTGATTTTCGTGTTCCGCTAGGGAGGTGGCAGAAGAGGTTCAGAAGATGATGGGCGAGTTAGACTTAGCGAAGTTCAGCTGGATGTTGCGCAATTTGCTGGAGAATTATCACCCGACGCCAGTGAACACCGAAACACTGGAAACTCCAGAGGATTTCCTGATAAAATGTAATTTTACATTGTCTTTATGTTTAAAATATTGAATGCTTAGGGACTACTCGTTATTTTTAAAGATTGAGAAAGAACTGTAGTTACTCTATTTCTTCGATTGGTGACGTGGTAACGGAGACGTGCGATTAAATGAATCACGAGTATTAGCCACCTGCAATCTTGATAAAAAGGTAGCAGTAGAGCCTTGGCAAGCGTAAAGGACAACAAGTAATTATTTTCTTATGTGTTAATCCATACGTGAATCCGCTTCAGAAACTTTTATCAAGAAGAACTTGATATTTAGAATTAGTGTACCTTAGTGTTTCATATGTATCATATCTAATCGCGTTTGATCACAGTTCCCGGTTTCCTGGGAGCCAACAACCGTGCAAGCTGTCGGCCATCGAGGAGAGTACAATGGTGTGTTTCATCCAACTTGGAGGACAGAAAGTGTCGCTGGCTCAGAGAAGCCTCCTTAGTTTACGGCGTGGAACCAACGATTTCCTGTAAACAAGAGCCAACGAGGGCATCGTGCTTGAAGGCGATAAAAACAAGAGAGGCGGACATATTCGTCGCGATGCCAGAAGAACTGCTCAGCGCCAGAAAGTAAGCAAAAATTACTGTCGCGTGTTTATGGAAGGGAAGAAAAGGGATGTTCCCCGTAGTGTCTACACTGTCTGCAGTGGTGTTTCAGAATGGGTTTGAAGCCGATCGTGCAGGCGGTAGTCAAAAAGAATAACGAGTTCAACAGAATCGCGGCGGTCGTCAAGCAGGATTCACGGTTCAAGAGTTTGAGGGACCTCAAGGGAGCCAAAGCATGCTTCACGGGATACAGAGATGTCGGTGAGGATAACTGTTCAAGAATCCCTAGTTATACTTTCTTTAAGCTTTCTTAAATTAATTTGAAAAAATTATTTTTAAGTAATTTTCTGTACGGATTCCTTGTCTCCGCAGGGTGGAATACCTTTGTGTCAGCTTTGAGGAATATCTCAATTGGAAAATCTGACTGCTCGGATGCACGGGTAGTTGGAAACTTTTTCGAGGAGAGCTGCGTTCTTGGGTTGAACGACAGCCACGCGGAAATTCCTCGTAATTTATATTCACTGTGTAAACAGAGTAGGTGAACGCGTGCTGGTGTAATCAGAATAAAACTGCGATTGGAATACTAACTAAATAGCGAATCGAATTTATAGCAGGCAGAGTCGGAGACGATTTAAGTGCCTTCGATTGTTTATCTTCTGGCCTTGGAGACGTAGCTTTTGTCAACCTGAAGAACATCGAAAAAAAGACTGGTACAAATTCCGAACAAATCTATTTTTATCGTTATAACGTTTTTATAATAAAAATCATAGTATTTTAAACCATTTAAGACAAAAAAAAAATGAAATTAAGAATTAAAATTATTGTAGGTAATTTTAACTCACAAAGTCGCAGCGATCACGGGACCAATAGTTATCGAACGCTATGTCTGAGGGAAACAGATGCTGATGAGGATCACATGTGTGTACTTGCGTGGACGCCGTTAAGCGCGGTAATCCTCTACTATACATACGATTACGAAATTATCAAACATCAGTATGGAATTCCACGCTATTTTCAGGTTGTGGCGCATGAAAACTTGACGTCATTAAGACGCGAAGAGATTTATGCGATGCTACTGGAGATGGACGATCTGTTTGGAGTCACTCTCAAGGGTAGAATACCAGCGTTCTCTATGTATGGACCGTACGATTCGAATTACAGCGTCATCTTCCCGGTACGTAAAAATATAAATCATCAACAGTGGACAAAATATTAATCTTAGCTCTCCATCGAATATTAGTTAAATGAGAAATTTATATCTACGAACTAATATTTAAACATTGATTCGAATCAGTAAAAGGAAACATCGTATTCACAAATACAAATATTATTCTCAAAAGTAAAAAATCACAATGTTACAAATTGATATATATAGAAAATTACAAAAACAGTTTCAATCCTCGTCGGAGGTGTTGCACATGCAGTCTAAAGGCCGCTCGAGGATGGTTACTTTTTCCCAGTATTTTTCATTTTGCGCTGCTCCGTAGTAAACGTAACCTTGACGGCAGAAAGCCCAAGGGAAATGCATGCATTTAAACGAAACGTAAGGCTCGCCCTTCGCGTTCAACGCAATGGCCCCTATATCCGATTCTCCAGTTTCTGCTTCGAAGTTTTCTAGTTCCGCGCTCACGGAATAATCGATCGATGCGTCTCGAGGCAATCTTTCGATTATTTTTCGCGCGGGGGCATAGGAATAAATGTTTTTATCGTTTCCTGAAACGGAAACGCAGCCGTGTTCATCCGCGTAGACGCCGCAGCCAAGCACCGTACCGATCGCGCTCACTGAACCGATAGGCTTTCCGAGATCTCCCGCTGTCGATGTACCGCTTGCGAGTCGTCTTTTTCTATCGTATGCGACTACACCAACTGCGCTAACCTGGAGAGTTAATATTTATATAACTCATTCTTCGAAATCCTTTCTACCTCTTGCACTAAGGAAATCTATCATTGGTTAAACATTATTTACTCTTTTCTTAAATACACAAAAATTGCAAAAATTGCACAAAAATTCGTGAAACAAGAATACAGGGAATCAAATTTTTTCATGATTATATAATATCTTTTATACAGGATTTTATACAATCAACAATAAAAATAAATAACGTTTCTTAAGATCAATGAGTAACAAGTTTTTTTTTCTGTACATGTAGAAATAATATTTGGAATCTATAATAAAAAAAAAACCTTGTGCGACGAACAATCACATTGTGACCCAGGCTTTGGTATAGCGAGAAAAAAAATATATATCATTGCTCGCACATAACATTAGCTGAAATGAATAAATGTTGTTCAACTTATTCGAATCAAACAGAACTTTTTTCTTCTGTCATGATTTCTGGAATACTAATCTTTATTTCAGTAGTAGCAATTCGTAACGAACTCGATAAAGTAATGTCCTTTACTTTGCCACGGTAATTCATTTTCATTAATTTTACAGTAGAGAAGATACTTTCACACAAGGAGGTAGACGCGAACATGGAAAACATTTTTAATCCAACATCGTATAACCTCGGATACTTTTCTGGAGTCAACAATTTGAAAAATTCTTCGCCTGTTTCTCTCCTGTACAAAAAGCATGGATCTGTTTGCAGGTCGCACAATTCCGATTGTAAATCAATGTTTTGATTTTCAATTGAAACATGCATGGGATCTGCAAACAATTGTACCTCGTTCTCTATAATTTTAAAATCGCTAAATCTATTATCAAACTCTTCTATTAACTCTAATACATCAGTTCGAAATTCCGAGAATTTCATTTCTGGATTTTCTTCCTTAAGTTGTTTACAATGAGGAAAGTGAGACAGGATTTCTTTTCCAAACTGTGCCGCGAACAGTTCTAATTTCTTTCTAAATCCATTAATATTGCCGACTAAGTGGACGATACTTTGTCCTTTTTCCTGTAATTTTAGATTCAATTCATTAAGATAGAACGATATATCTGTCAAATACGCTAATCCACAGATAAATTCGTGGCTCTGTAATTCTTTTCTTATGTCAACTGTTTTACTTTTCAGTTCAGCTGCTAAAAATTCGTTCAATTCTTTTCGAATAGCAAAGAAACGTTCTAATAATTTCCCACTGCTAAGCCAGCAATTTTCTGCGTGCAACAACAAATCGTTGGATGCAGCATTCTTCTCTTGCAAATACGATTTTAATTTTTTATGTTGAATCGAGCCTCTGTTACCTCTGATAAGATTAGTTACTTTAGTCACGAGATCTATTATGGAACGTAATTTCGACGACTTTGCGTATAACACATTTTCGTGTATTATGCAATGAAATATAGGGGAATGTGGTACATTGTATTTTAATAATTTAACTATATCTTTATCGGTGTCATTTATACTCGCTGCTGCATCGGTTACGATACACGTGCATTTCGTAAAATCCGTAAATTTCTCTACTTCCTTTCTAAAAGTATTAAAAATGTATGTACCCTCGGTAGTGCTGTTCAGTGGGGCCAAACCGAGCAATTCCTCGTGCAATAAAAAATCTGATTGCACAGTTCGAATAAAAATCATAAGATAGGCAATATCATACAAGTCCGTACTTCTATCCAAGCAAAGGGAAAAATATTTACAATTCTGAATCAAATTACGAAGTTTCTTTACTAGATGCTTATCGATGTCCATAAATCGTCTAGAGATCGTTTGACGGGACAAAGGCACTGTTTTGAACTGATTCACCGCATCTGTATTTTGAAATGCTTCAGCCATGGCGGTGGTACAAGTTTTAATCAATTTCCCGTCGCCGAAACTCTTTTTGCTACGACCGATTTCCCACGCGACAGCGTACGACGCCGCGATTCGACTCTCGGTGTTATCGATATTCCCAAACGACGTACTAGGCATCGATGTGCTCGTCAATGTTGCAGCTGGCAATGTTGCACTCGATAACGTTGTATTCAACAATGGTGCATCCACCAACGGCACATCTGTCCACGGTGCATCCATCACCGACGTACTCGCGGTATCAGATGCAGAGTACTCGCTCGCGTTACCATAAGGTTTTTTATATACTTCTAGTAATTGCCGTTTCTCCTCCCTCGTGTATGCTTTATACTGCTCGGCGTGAAACCGATTGTAATGCCGCGCAATATTGAACACTTTACTCTTTTTCAATAGAAAGTTACATATTATGCATCTGGCGCTTTGATTCTCTTTGGAAAATAAAAAATCGGTTTCCCAGTTGCGATTGATCAATCGCGTTTTACCTAGGTGGGCCTCTTTAGGCATTATGGTAACGATTGTACGTACTTAAAAAGTTTTCGTTAAGGTAACGAAGAGAATAGTCGATATAGCTACGTGTTTGTCGCTGTAGCTTGTATTAATATATGTACAGAGCTTGTACTATAGCTATGCATTAATTTCTTTGAAATTGTAGCGAGGAGATTAGAATAATTTCATTGTTCGTTACTTCATGATCTGTTTACGATTACTACAAAGTGTTCTGAAGCAAATCACTCGTAAAGAAGAGTGTCTATTGTTAGTTTGCGCGGGAATCACGCTCATTGGCTGTGCACCTTACAGCGTGGTGCTGACCAATGCATACTGCTTATTATTAT